TGGGAACCTTGACCAACGATGCACCGGAGAGGGAGAGACGTTGAGGCACGCAGTTTCTGATTGGCCAGATATAATTCCGGCGAGGAACAAAACCATGCCGACACAAGGTCCTTGGATGGGGGTTCACGGCTGATGTGATCGACATTTCAAGAGCGCATCCCACAACGTGTGACGATGATGTGCTTAGATAGCGCCCTGTGTTAAATGCAACCGTAGGGGTAGTATGAAATAAGATAACACACCCCCTGGATCAATTTCCGATGCTCGACTACAGTACACCATAGCGGAAAGAGTGGCGATGCCGAAAACGGTGGCCCTGAAACCGTTGCGTCGAGCGCTTTGGGAAGACGTACCGCTTGATTTTATGTTTCCTCGTTGTGGAGTAATCGAGCTTTGAAAATCGGTCCAGGGGTGTGTGGTATGGCACGTCACCTACTAGCTGTACCAATGCAGAGGATCGCCGGAAGGAAAGAAGGGCCTTTTTCAGTCGCATCCGATTGCTGCTGTGCCCGCTGCTCGAAATATACTCCTGTGCGGTAAATGCATACAATTTAGGCCGCAAGAGAAGCGCGGTTGAGGCGGACACCCAGGTTCCTTGAACTAATCAAACCCAGGGAATCTTGCGGCGATCTAGAAACCCACGCTCACAACTCTCGGTGTGTTCATACGCACCAAATCGGCAATAAGAGTGCACCCAAGGCGTGAAGGTTGAGGCCGGGGCTGCCCCCGGGATAAATCCGCAAAAGTGAGCGTCAACCTACGAAGGACGAGGGGCGCCCTCCCCGCCCGCGTGAGGAGCTTCATATCGCCCTGAAGAAATCGCCGCCGGAGACAAACTTTTACGTGGCAGAGGAAGTTGTCACCGCCTTGTAGAGCTCCCACAGCGCGTAACCCGCGGCAGTTTCGAGCCCTAGTCTCGCCGCAAACTTGGCGCCCTTCTCGAGCTTGCTGGGACTCGAAGAGTATGGCCATTCAAGTCCCCCTCCCCCCCCTTTTGCTGCTGCTTCCCCTCCCTGCTTGCCGGTAAGGGTCTTGAAGACCTGCCACACATGAACGTAGCACCACAGCCGGCAGGGGAATACCAGGTAATTAATTTGGATGGTTTGTCTGTGGCGCAGGGACAAGTGATTTGGATCGCTGCCCCGGAGCTATGCGTACTGACGGAAACAACACGCCGCGACTCGTCAGAGTATCATGTTCAGCGCTTCACTTCTACATAAGTGGTATACTCGATCAGCATGGATGGCACTTCCCGAAGAAAGCACTTGACAACCCCCACTTCCTTCCAATGATGTGTCGGAGGATGCGCCGCGACATTGAGATTAACGCCGGATGGCGACTAAGCGAGGTGGTTGGAACCCAAGCCGCCAGGATGCTACCCCGATTGGGGCGAACCAAAATTATGTGTCCATTGCCGCGTTTCCGTGATGGAAACGAGAGGTTGCGAAACCACCGCATCACTTATAGTACAGCAGTCGTCCCCGTTTAATTGACACACATCGTATTTTTTTGGAAAGTGTCTTTAACATTCCGGGGATGATAATTCACCATCCCCGGCGGGGTCGATGGAGGCGTACCATACGACAAAAGACGCGCCATTGCAGCAGGGATACTAGCACGAAACATCATAAACCTGACGATCACAACGTGGTGGTGGTCGAAAGTCGCACATTCTTGTTGTACCACGTTGTTCGCTCTTGAACCTTGACATTGCAACACTCCACCCCCTGCATAAATTATTCTTCGAACAGTGGGTTCAGCGCTGCAGGACGAGGTACACAAATGCAACACCAGTGCGCTGTTGTTGTTGTTGTTGTTGTTATTTTTATGGCATGATTTCTGTATTTGCTTTAGCGTCGTCCCCAAGTTCAACCCTTGGCCGAGATGCATATCATCACCGCCCCTGAAAAAAAGAAAGGCAACCGTCTTTGCAACTCGGATAGGATTTTGTACCCCCCCCTGATTCCCTTCGGTGTTTGCCATCGGGGTTGGGTTTTCGTCGCTTGGCAACGACGTTGTAAAACAAGCCAACTCACTTCGTGAACTCGGCAACCAGGTTGTTGTTACCGTTTGTTTTTTTTTACCTCTTTTTTTTGGCGGTAACCATAATGGTGGTCGAGTAGATCATGTTGTGCGGGGTGGAGAACCC